ATATCATCCCATCAAGGAGGAGGAGGCTTGTTTAACCAGCAAGCCTCCAAAGCATCCCTATTTGCCTTGACCCACCTGGGAGGGGAGCTTATGTTAAAAGTTTCTACTCAAACTGTGGGCCATGGTTCAGTACTGGAATCACCTGGGAGCTTCTTAAACAGCTACAGAATCTGAGCCGATCCCAGACTCACCGAATCAAAACCCACAGCTTAACAAGATCCCTAGGGGATCTGTGTGACCATTAAAAACTGGGAAACACTGATCAAACACAATGCTGTTGTTTCACAGCTGGAGAAACCAAGGCCCAGAGAGAGGAAGTGATCCTTCCATGATGATGACACAGCATTTAGAACAAAAAAAAAAAGTCCCAAATCTAAGCTACCAATCCCCAGCTTGCAAACGCCATGGACTGGCATGTCTGAGACATTCATATCACATATTGATGCTGATATTTCTATACAACAAGCCCTGGAGGACTCACTAGGAGCTCTAACCAATCAGGTGAGCACTTGGGGACCCCAAAATTTTCCTCTGTTGACAGTGTTCTGCCTGCTGTTTGGGGCAGTTTGACTGATTTCTGGCAGGCTCCCACCATGTCCGTATTCTCCTGGGAGTTCACTATTCTCCCTGCCCTTGTTGACACAATTGCTGCTGCTACACAGAAGAAATTAAGTGCGTCCTATAGCCTGCAATCCCAGGGACAACCTCTGGTTGCAGCATGCTCCCATCTTCCATATTAAATGTGTGTGTGTTTCTCTCATTTCCTTGGTTCATTTCTTCATATGGTAGACACTGTTAATTGTCTGGGTCAGGGAATATCAATCCTTGAATTTGATTGAAGGTGATCTGAGACTCTTGGTGCCTCTATATACCTTGCAGGAGCAAATGCAAATACTTCTTGAAGGAAGGAACCTTCAATACAAGCCTCAAATAATTCAACAAGGCAAGTTAACAAGGCGGGTTTGTTGATATCTTTGGGAATAGGAAACTCCATCATGTGACATAGTCTTCCCAGAACTAAGTAGAACTTCTAACAAAAAAAATTCAATAACCAAAATACATACCTACATACATACATACTAACCTCAATGGAAGCTTCACAGCAAAATAAATACAACTGAAGAAGGAATTAGAGAATTGGAAGATAGATCTGAAGAAATGATCCAGAGTGTCATTACAAGAGACAAAAAGATGGAAAATATAGAAGACACATAGAAAACGTATTTTTAAAGCCTAACCATACATTTTATCAGAGGCCTGAAAGGAGAAAGATGTAGTGAAGGTCTGACAAGGTGACCTTTATAGCACTGACTGAGCCAAGAGCCTGCTGAAAAGAAACAGGTAGTCTCCATGCTTGTGCCTATGGATGAATTCCTTCTCCTTGGAATCAGAGAAGCACATCAAAGGGCTGAGTTCCACCTCTAGTCTCATCCTTGGCTATAGCATTTCCCCTCCAGATGTTTTTTTATTTCTTTTTCATCTATTTCCAGTAGGTCTTAATTCTATGTGTGAAAAATTTTTTTAATCCAGTGTTTATTTTGGATTTTACACGCATGGCAGACAAAGTTCCTAGGCAAAAAAATAAATATATAGTTCAATGAATATGAAAGTGTTTTCTTTTTTCTGGCATTGCTGATGTTAGAGACATCTGGGACAGAAAACAAATCCTCTGGAGTCTGAGTGGCAGGCCTGCCCACCACCAATGATTGTGTGGTTTGTGTACCACATGAAAATACCTGCTAAGAGGATGGGAGCCTGGAAGACCGCCACAGCTCTGCTTGCCAAGCTGTGTCCCCTAGCGAGGAGCTCTGTCTGCCAGAGGGCACCTTCTACACAAAGGTACTACCCCAAGCTACACTCTAGCTGCATTTGCCCAGATAAATACCTTTATCTATTTTGCATAAAAGTACTCATTCATTAATGGGGTTCCACCAAACTGTCCACTGGAGAAGTGTCTAATAAAAGATGAATTCATTCTCAGTTACCTCAAAGGCCTGCCAAAGCTAGGTAGCCGTGTGTGTGTGTGTGTGTGTGTGTGTGTGTGTGTAAGAGTATGGCTTGTAGGGTAACTAATTGCCCAGATCACCTGGTACTGAGGGTCCTGTGATACAGGACTGTGATGCTAAAGCCAGGACAGTCCTGGCAAACTGGCATTGCTGGTCACCCTACTTTGGGGAATTTCCTCAAGTTGGGCACCTTTGGACTGTCATTACATGAAGGACTGAAATTCCTGGTATTTCCCCTTTCTCTTCCTCTGTGGTTCCCTTGCCTTGTGCCAACCCTTATGTTTAAAGGGCATAGACCATGTCACAGTGGGCAGAAGTCTTCCCCTTCAAAGTATGCCTCTAGTGGGGATGTTCCAGTGTCAACTCCTCAGACATCTTGGCTGACTTAGAAGGTCACTTCTTTTCTCCCCACCCCTCTGTCCCAAAGGTACTGGCTTGACTTCTACTCATTTCCTCTTATTCTTATTGCACCATTATGTTCTTTTTTCCTAACTCTACCCTGCATGCCCTCAGAGCACTATTTCTCTGCTCTTTGGATCACTGAATACAAAGGCTCCTTTCCTAATCTGACCCCCAAGTCTACCTCTAAGCTCCTGGTTGTTTTATTTAATTGCCTTCCTCCCCTCCCTGATTATAAAAGTATATATATATATATATATATATATATTTGTTGTAAAATATTGAGAGTACAGAAAAGTAGTAACATTTTATGGTACTGAATTTCTTACCAGTATTTTTTCTATGAATATTTTTACATAGTTCAGAACAGACTATATAATTTTATATTTGGATTTTCTTTTTTTAACTTAACATTACGACATGAACATTCTATTAAAATCCTAAAAACATTTTCCTATGAGAGTCACATCAGCAAGATAGCAGTCTAGGAAGCTACAGGCCCTCCTTCCCCCACAGAGACACCTACAACATATGAAACAGAATACCTCTGTGAGAACTCTAGAGACCAGCTGAGAAGCTACAACACCCAGGCCACTGTAAAACCAAGAAGGGATTCCAGCAAAAGGGGATGCTAGAATATATAAAGAACTCCTATAATTCAACGCAAAAAAGTCAAATAACCCAACTAAAATTGGGTAAAGACTGGAAGAGACATTTTCCCAAAAGTGATATATAAATGGCCAATAAGCACAGGAAAAAATATTCAGCTTCACTAATCATCAGAGAAGTATAAATCAAAATCAAAATGAGATATCACCTCACATCCATTAGGATGGCTACTATCAAAAATACACAAAATAACAAGTGTTGCCAAGAATATGGAGAAATTGGAATCCTTGTTCCAACTGGTGGGATTGTAAAATGTTTCAACTACTGAGTTCCAGATCAATATGCAAGAGTAGGAAGATTATGCGCTCAACTCCTCCCACAGACACACCAAAACTACAACTACATATAGAACAACTATCTCTGAGAATGACCCAAAGATGAGCAGAACAGATTTCCTATGACTAAGGATATAAAGAAAAGGCCATGCAGAGATGGGTAAGCAGAGCAGAGATGCAGTCTAGTCAGCACCCACACCCCTGGTGCAGCAACCTACAAGCAGGAGGTATATCACAACCATGGAGTTCCCTGCTGAGGAGCAAGGGATTCAAGCCCAACACTGGGCTGTTCAACCTGGGGGACCTACACTGGGAAGATGAGTCTCCATAATGTCTGGCTTTCAAAACCAGCAGGGTTTACATCTGGGACAGCAGAGGGCATTGGGAAATTGATACTCCACTCTTGAAAGACTCGTGTACAAACTCACTGGCCTTATGTCACAGTGCAGAGGCAGCAGCTTGAAAAGCGCCTGGGTCATGCAAGAAAAAGATTCATTGACTGATCTTAGGATGTGTGTTGCAGAGGTAGGGATCTGGTGGAACTTTCTCTGGGGATGGAAGTGCTGGCAGACACCATTTTTTTAAACTGGTTTTCCACATAGCTGGGCCAGTGCTGGCAGGCGCCATATCTATCACTCTCCATCAGTCTAGCTAAAACCATGCACCCCACCCCAGTGATCCCGAGGACCTGTCCCACCTAAAGCAGCTCCCACCCCACCACACCTGGTGGGTGGCCCTAGCTGAAACCAGGCCCCTCCAAAGTGGCTTCTGTTCTGGGGGCCAGCCCTGCACACCAGCACGCTCACATCAATTGTGGCCCAACCACAACAGAAGGGCACATGCAGCCCACACAGGGAATACCACTGGAGCACCTGGCTCTGGTGACTGGAATGGCAGGGAGGAGGGTTGTGCCGCTGAACTCCACAGGGCACTTTCTATGTAAAGCCATTCTTTCAAGACCAGGAGACACAGCTGATATACCTGATACATAGAAACAAACACAGAAAGTTAGGCAAAATGAGGAGATGAAAAATACCTTCTGAAAGAAAGAACAAGACAAAACCTCAGAAAAAGAGCTAAACGAAACAGAGATAAACAACTTACCAGATAAAGAGTTCAAAATAATAGTCACAAATATGCTTACGAAATTGGGAGAAGAATGGACGAACTCAGTGAGAACTTCAACAAAGAGATGAAAATATAAAAAAGAACTAGTCAGAACTGAAGCATACAATAACTGAAATGAAAAACACATGAGAGGGGCTTCCCTGGTGGCGCAGTGGTTGAGAGTCTGCCTGCCGATGCAGGGGACACGGGTTCGTGCCCCGGTCCAGGAAGATCCCACATGCCGCAGAGTGGCTAGGCCCATGAGCCATGGCTGCTGAGCCTACGCGTCCAGAGCCTGTGCTCCGCAACGGGAGAGGCCACAACAGTGAGAGGCCCACGTACCATAAAAAAAAAAAAAAAAAAAAAAACACATGAGAAGGAATCAACAGCAGTTTAGAGCAGCAGTCCCCAACCTTTTGGGCAGCAGGGACCAGTTTCGTGGAAGACAATTTTTCCATGGACGGGGTGGGGAGGGATGGTTCAGGTGGTAATGCGAGCGATGGGGAGCAGCAGATGAAGCTTTGCTTACTCACCCGCCACTCACCTCCTGCTGTGTGGCCCAGTTCCTAACAGGCTATGGATGGCCCGGGGGTTGGGGACCCCTTGTTTAGAGGATGCAGAGGAATGAGTCAGCAATCTGGAAGACAGGGTAATGGAAATCACCCAACTGGAACAGAAAAAAGAAAAAAGACTTTTTAAAAATGAGGATAGTTTAAGGGATCTCTGGGAAAACATCAAGCATACTAACATTCACAGTATAGGGATCACAGAAGGAGAAGAGAGAGACAGAAAGGGACAGAAAACCTATCTGAAGAAATAATGGCTGAAAATTTCTCTAAACTGGGGAAGGAAACACATCCAAGTCCAGGGATGAAACAAAATGAACTGGTTCAAACAAGATGAACCGAAAGATCCACACCAAGACATATTATAATTAAAATATCAAAGGTTAAAAATAAAGAGAGAATCTTAAAAGCAGTAAGAGAAAAACTAGTTACATACAAGGGAATACCCAAAAGGCTATCAACTAACTTTTCAGTAGAGACTTTATAGGCCAGAAGGGACTGGAATGGTATATTTAAAGTGGTGAAAGGAAACACCTACAACCAAGAGTACTCTACCTGGCAAGGTTATGATTCAGATTTGAAGGAGAGATTTAGAGTTTCCCAGATGAGCAAAAGCTAAAGGAGCTCATCACCACTAAACTGGTCTTACAAAACAAATGTTAAAGGGACTTATTTAAACAGAAAACAAAGGCCAAAACTAGAAACAAGAAAATTATGAAAGAAAAAAAATCTCACTGGTAAAGGCAAACATATAGAAAAGGTAGTGGATCAACTACCTATAAAGCTAGTATGAAGGTTAAAGGACAAAGGTAGTAAAATCATGTCTAAAATAATCAGTTAAGTGATATACAAAATAAAAAGATATAAGTATGACATTAAAACATAAAATGTGATGGCGAGGGTAGTAAAACTGTAGTGCTTTTAGGATGCACTCAAACTTAAGCGACCATCAACTTAAAAAAGACTGCTGTGTACACAGATTGTTATATATGAACCTCATGGTAACCACAAACCAAAAACGTATGACAGACATGTAGGAAAAGAGAAATGAATCCAAACATACCACTAAAGATAGTCATTAAATCACAAGAGAAGAGAGCAAAAGAAGAAGAAAGGAACAAAAAATAGCTACAAAAACAACCCTAAAACAATTAATAAAATGACAAATGAGTACATACTTATCAATAGTAACTTTAAATGTAAATGGACTAAATGCTCCAATCAAAAGACATCAGGTAGCTGAATGAATAAAAAACAAAACCCATATACATGCTGCCTATAAAAGACTCACTTCAGATCTCACACAGAGACTGAAAATGAAGGGAAGGAAAAAGATATTCTATGCAAATAGAAACAAAAAGGCAGCTAGGGTAGCAATACTTACATCAGACAAAATAAACTCTAAAACAAAGACTTTAACAAGAGAAAAAGGAGGGCATTACAAAGTGATAAAACAATCAACCCAACAAGGGGCTATAACATTTGTAAATATCTATGCACCCAACGTAGGAGCACCTAGATGCAAAAAGCAAATATTAATAGACATAAAGAGAGAAACAGAGAGCAATATAATAATAGTACGGAACTTTAACACCCCACTTAAATCAAAGAATAGATCATCCATACGGAAAATCAAGAAGGAAACATTGGTCTTAAATGATGCATTAGACCAGATGAACTTAATAGATATCTACAGAACATTCCACCAGAATACAATAGAATACACATTCTTTTCAATACACATTCTTTTCTACACAATAGAATACACATTCTATTCAATAGAATACACATTCTTTTCAAAGAATACACATTCTTTCCAAGATCTATCCTGGAAAGTTCTCCAGGATAGGTCACATGACAGGCTACAAAACAAGTTTCAGAGAATTTAAGAAACTGAAATCACATCAAGGATCTTTTCTAACCACAATGGTATGACATTAGAAATCAACTACAAGGAAATAACTGCAACTCGCCCAACACATGTAGGCTAAACAACATACTTCTGAACAACCAATGGGTCAACAAAAAACAAAGAGAAATCAAAAAATACCTTGAGGGGCTTCCCTGGTGGCGCAGTGGTTGAGAGTCCGCCTGCCGATGCAGGGGACACGGGTTCGTGCCCCGGTCCGGGAAGATCCCACATGCCGCGGAGCAGCTGGGTCCGTGAGCCATGGCCGCTGAGCCTGCGCATCTGGAGCCTGTGCTCTGCAACGGGAGAGGCCACAACGGTGAGAGGCCTGCGTACTGCAAAAAAAAAAAAAAAAAAAAATACCTTGAGGGCTTCCTTGGTGGCGCAGTGGTTGAGAGTCTGCCTGCCAATGCAGGGGACGCGGGTTCATGCCCCAGTCCGGGAAGATCCCACATGCCGTGGAGTGGCTGGGCCCGTGAGCCATGGCCGTTGAGCCTGCACGTCCAGAGCCTGCGCATCCAGAGCCTGTGCTCCACAACGGGAGAGGCCACAACAGTGAGAGGCCCGCGTACTGCAAAAAAAAACCTTGAGACAAATGAAAATGGAAACACAACGTTCCAAAATTTATGGGACACAGCAAAAGCAGTTCTAAGAGGGAGGTTTATAGTGATACAGATCTCCAACAGGAAACAAGAAAAACCTCAAATAAACAATCTAACCTTACACCTAAAGGAACTAGAAAAAGAAGAACAAACAAAGCCCAAAGTTAACAGGTGGAAGGAAATAATAAAGATCAGAATGGAAATAAATGAAATAGAAACTAAAAAAGAAAATAAAAGATCAACGAAACTAAGAGCTCGTTCTTTGAGAAAATAAACAAAATTGATAAACCTTTGGCTAGACTTATCAAGAAAAAAAGAGAAAGGGCTCAAATAAATAAGATCAGCAATGAAAGAGAAGTTACAACTGACACCACAGAAATATTAAGGGTCATAGGAGGTTAATACAAACAATTACACCCCAACAAATTGGACAATCTAGAAGAAATGGATAAATTCCTAGAAACATACACTCTTCCAAGGCTGAATAAAGAAGAATTAGAAAATCTGAACAGACTGACCACTAGTAATGAAACTGAATCAGTAATTTAAAAATTCCCAAAAACAAAGGTCCAGGACCAGATGGCTTTACGGGTGAATTCTACCAAACTTTTAAAGGAGTTAATACCTATTCTTTGCAAACCACAGTTGACCCTTGAACTACGCAGGTTTGAAATGCATGGGTCCACTTATATGAAGATATTTTTCAATAGTAAATACTACAGTACTACATGGCCTGTGTTTGGGTGAATCCACATATGTGAAGGAGCCCTGAATATGGAGGGCCGACTCTAAGTTATATGTGAATTAACCCCTATATTATTCAAGGGTCAACTGTATTCCAAAAAATTGAAGAGGAAGGAATGCTTCCAAACTCATGTTACAGGGCCAGCATTACCCTGATACCAAAACCAGATAGACACTACCAAAAAAAAAATATAGGCCCAAATCCCTCATGAACATATATGCAAAAATCCTCAAGAAAATATTAGCAAATCAAATTCAACAATAAAGTAAAAGAATCGTACACCATGATCAAGTAGGATTTATTCCAGAGATGCGAGGATGGTTCAATATCCACAAATCAATCAACATGATATCCACATTAACAAAATGAATGATAAAAATCACTTGATCATCTCAATAGATGCAGAAAAAGCATGTGACAAAATTCAACACCCATTTATGGTAAAAACTCTCAACAAAGTGGGTATAGAGGGAACACACCTCAACATAATAAAGGCCATACATACAAACCTATGGCCAGCATCATACTCAACAGTGAAATGCTAAAAGCTTTTTCTCTGAGATCAGGAGCAAGATAAGAATACCCGTTCTTGCCACTTTTATGCAACATAGTATTGGAAGTCCTAGCAAGAGCAATCAGATAAGAAAAAAAAAAAAAAGGATAAAAAGCATCCAAATTAGAAAAGAAATAAAACTGTCACTATACAGATGGCATGATACGATATATAGAAAACCCTAAAGACTCCACAAAAATACTATTAGAACTAATAAATGAATTCAGTAAAGCTGTAGGATATAAAATCAATGTACAGAAATCTGTTGTATTTCTATACACTAATAATGAAATGTCAGAGAAATTAAGAAAACAATCCCATTTATAACTGCATCAAAAAGAATAAAATACCTAAAATAAATTTAACCAAGGAGGTGAAGGACCTGTACTTGGAAAACGATAAGACATTGATGAAAGAAATTGAAGATGACACAAATAAATGGAAAGACATACTGTACTCATGGATTGGAAGAATTAATATTGTTAAAATGTCCAAACTACCCAAGTCAATCTACAGATTCAGTGCAATCCCTATCAATATACCAATGACATTTTCCACAGAAGTAGAACAAATAATCCTAAAATTTGCATGGAACTACAAAAGACTCCAAATAGCCAAAGCAATCTTAAGGATGAACAAAACTGGGTATATCATGCTCACTGATTTCAAACTATACTACAAAGCTATAGTAATCAAAACTATGGTACCAGCACAAAAAGACATAGATAGATGGAACACAATAGACAGCTCAGAAACAAACCCACGTGTACATGGTCAATTAATTTACAACAGAGGAGGGGGGAAGAGATGGTCTTTTTAATAAATGATGCTGGGAAAACTAGACAGCTACATGCAAAAAAGAAAAGAAAAAAACTGTACCACTCTCTTACACCATATACAAAAATAAACTCAAAATGGATTAAAGACTTAAATGTAAGACTTGAAACCATAAAACTCCTGGAAGAAAACATAGCCAGTATGGTCTTTGACATTGGTGTTAGCAATATTTTTTTGGATTTGTCTCCTCAGGCAAGGGGAACAAAAACAAAGATAAACAAATGGGACTACATCAAACTAAAAAGCTTTTGCACAAGAAGGCCAACAGACACATGAAAAGATGCTCAAAAGCACTAATCATCAAGGAAATGCAAATCAAAACCACAAGGAGATATCACCTCACACCTGTCAGAACGTTATTATCTGTTATTCTATTATCAAAAAGACAAATACGTTTTGTCAAGGATGTGGAGAAAAGGGAAACCACATGCACTGTTGGTGGGAATGTAAATTGGTGCAGCCACTATGGAAGACAGTATGGAAGTTCCTCAAAAAACTAAAAATAGAACTACCATATACTCCAGCAGTTTCACTTCTGGGTATTTATCTGAAAAAAATGAAAATGCTAATTCAAAATGATATATTCACTCCTTCATTCATTGCAGCATTATTTACAATAGCCAAGATATGGAAGCAACTTAAGTGTCCATCCACAGATGAATGGATAAAGAAGATGTGGTATATACAGTTGAACCTTGTAAAACATGGGTTTGAACTGCAAGGGTCCACTTATACACAATTTTTTTTTTCAATAAATAACTACTATAGTACTACATAATATGCAGTTGGTTGAATCTGTGGATTCACCTGTGGATTGAACTGTGGATACAGAGGGCCAACTCAAAAGTTATACATGGATTTTCAACTGCACAGAGGGGTGGTACCTGTAACCCCTGGGGTTGTTCAAGGGTCAACTCTATACACAAGGGTATATTACTCAGCCATAAAAAAGAACGAAATCTTGCCATTTGTGACAACATGGATGGATTTAGTATTATTCTAAGTGAAATAAGTCAGACAGAGAAAGACAAATACTGTATGATTTCACTTATATGTGGAATCTAAAAAACAAAGGAAACAAACAAGCACAACAAAACAGAAACAGGCTCATAGATACAGAGAACAAACTGGTGGTGACCAGAGGGGAGCAGGTGGGGAGTTGGGCAAAATTGGTGAAGGGGATTAAGAGGTACACACTTCTACTTATAAGATAAATAAGTTACAGGGATGTAATGTACAGCATAGGGAATACAGTCAATAATACTGTAATGACTTTTTAGGGTGGCAGACGGTTATTAGACTTATCGTGGTGATCAATTTGTATTGCATATAAATGTCAAACCACTATGTTGTCCACTTGGAACTAAAAATATTGTATGTCACCTATACTTCAATAAAAAGGTGGGGGGGATGGTACAATTACTATGGAAAATAGCAGTAAGGTTCCTCAAAAAATTAAAAATAGAACTACTATATGATCCAGCCACACTACACTTGGGTTTATAGCCAAAAGAATTGGAAGCAAGGTCTCACAGAAATATTTGTACACCCATGTTCCTAGCAGCATTATTCGCAATAGCTAAAAGGCAGAAGCAACCCAAATACCTATTGATGGATGAACAAAGTGTGGTATATACGTAAAATGGAATTTTATTCAGCCTTAAGAAGGAAGGAAATTCTGTCACATGCTACAACATGGATGAAGCTGGAGGACACTATGCTAAGTGAAATAAGCCAGTCACAAAAAGACAAAACTTGCATGATTCCACTCGTCTGAGGCATCTAAAGTATTCAAATTCATAAAAACAGAAATTAGAATACCAGGCTGGGGAAAGGGAAATGTTATTTAATGGGTAGAGAGTTTCAGTTTTGCAAGATGAAGCTCTGTTTCACAACAATGTGAACATAGTTAACACTATTGAACTGTACACTTAAAAATGGTTAAGAAGGTAAATTTTATGTTATGTGGGTTTTTTTACAGTTAAGTATTTAGGCTTTGCTGGCCATAGTCTCTGCTGTTATAGCAGGAAAGGAGACATAAACGATATGTACTTGGGGGTGGCTGTGCTTCAGCACAACTCCATCTACAAAAGTAGGAGGAGGGCTGGATTTGACCAATGGGCCATCATTTGTTAAGCCCTGGTTTAGACTGTTTCTAATATTTGGTATTATAAAAATACTGCTAATGAACATCTTTGGGGAAAAGTCCATGTATACACATATGTATACTTTCCTAAGAGAAGCTACTATATATATATATATATATATATATATATATATATATACACAAATAAATATATATAAGCTTCTCTCTTAGGCAAGAATCCTAAGAATGAAGTTAATGGAAAAAAAGTATGGCTATTTCTAAGGTCCTTGATGCATACATTGGGATACGACTTGAAGCAGCTCTCTGAATAGTTACCCGATCCTGATTCAGCAACACCTTGGACTCTGT